CAGAAGGATGGGATAATTTCGCTTGGACATCAGTCTTCCTGAGCTACAACCATCGTCGCGGCATAGAAGCTTGATGGGTCAATACGCATTTACAGCGTCTACAAACTGTCGGTGACGCAGGCGAAAACAGCAGAACAGTATCCGATTCCACTGGTGGGGTCGCAGAAAAGTTAACCAAAGTTGATTTAAGCTCCGCTTACACTCAAGTAGTACGTCATAAATCCGGGAAAGAAGTTACAATAACCAATGCACACGTTAGATTATTCTGATATAGCCTATTGCCGTTCGGGATACACTCTGCGACTGCAATATTTCAGAGGAGTATGGACAACTTAGAAAACGGCATATCTGGAGTGTGCGACTACTTTGATGAAACCTTAGTTAGTGTTTGTACATGCTGGTTGGCAAAATCCGGTTTCGGATTTGCCTGTCACTGTAGCCAGACACAGGACGCCTGCGCCTACAGAGTGACCATAGGTGGCTTGCGCTGCACCACCCACAGCTCCAAACACACACCTCATATCCAGTGTAAATCCAAAATCCGGGAGGCATGTGCATGAGAGCCACATTTCATCCACGGAGCCGGCCCACACTCCTTCACAGGCAAACACAAGCACGCTGTATTTGGAGAATCAAGTACACACAAGGCGGTGGCTGGACCGTAATCCGTTCCACACTGAGTGCATGGAACCAATCTTGGAGCATAGCACAGTCACAAGGACCGTGCACCCCGTCCCCTCCAGCAACGACCAACTGTTTCCTGGAGCCAGTATGAACGAGATAGTGGGTAATAGACAGATGGGCACGTTGTAAACATGCACATCAAGCGCAGCCATACGGGGAAGTCAAGCAACAGCCAATCACTTGAAATGACATTATCAAATAAAAGATATCTGTTAAAGCATACGACTATGCCGACATAACTCTTCGCTAACTTAACATATAATGTAAGTTGGTTAGAAACAAACCCGCGATAAGTACAAAACGTCTACAATTTAATCAAAAAATGCCACAAACGCGAAAAAGTCAACAGAGATAACAAGAATAAGGGAAAACAACGAATGTAAGTTAAAAGAAGATTATTTAGATAGGCAGAACAAACTAAATAAAGTGGAGTGAAATTTATCCAGCTTAAAAAGCCCAAGTTTAAGTGTAAGTTGGTTTAGCCTAACTGCGGTGAAGAAGCATCGTGAATGCAACATCAGCCGCGGCATGGGGCTGAAACGCCTACAAGAAGGCGGGTTTGAGCTCGGGTAATGCAAGTGTCTTTCGCTGCGATAATGTTGAGTACCTGGGTTTCCGACTGGACAAACACGGATTACATCCATTAAGGATTAAAAAACAACCCATGCTGAATTCGCTGACACCCCGCAGTATTACCGAACTGCTATCATTTCTTGCGACGGTGACCCAATAGCCATATGGTACCCAACTTGGCTACTATTCGCATGCTAGTGTATACTTTACTCAGAAAGAATACTTGGTGGCTGTGATCAGGTGGACAAGAAAAATCGTACAATGTTGTCAGGTTGGCCATAAGTAACGCTGATTTGTTAGTGCGTTTTGATCGAAACAAAGCGATCACTCACCGATGCGACGCGTCACCCACAGGTCTCAGTTCCGTACTGTCTCACAAAATGGAAAGCATGACTGAGCGAACCATAGCTTTCGCGGCCGGCAACTTGGCCCCAGAGTATAGGTATTATGTCCAACTAAACAAGAAAATTTTAGTGACTATCTCCGTAGTCAACTATTTCCAACAATATCTATGGAAAAGAAAATTTAAATCTTTAAGGACTACAAACCACTAGTAAACTTGATTAGTGGGAAGAAAGACAGCAACCGGATGGCGTCTCCTCATATGCAATGTTGGGCTTAATCACTTTCGACTTACACTTACAAGATCTCCAATGTTCAGGGAAAAGCAAATAGAATTGCAAACACCGTCGCTGGCAGTTGAATCACCTACCAGATCGCGTATTGAGACCTATGGAACTTGTCCACTTGCTGCAGGAAACCGGATGTGACATATTACTGACCGAATTCAAGCGTCTTGTCTCTTAAGCATGGCCCGACAGAGGTCAACCGCAACTACTACCGTAATATGCCCGATGCATATAACTTAGTCCCGAGAATGGCTGTCTGATCCGGCGATCCAAAGAGATCATACCACCGTGGTTGAGACAGCATATCTCAAACCTAGAAGAATGAATGGACGTGCGCAATCTAATGCACAGTAGGCTAATATTGACAGATCGGAGAGTAAATTCAACAATGAGACGCGGGCCATTTAAGCACCGCAATCCACGGGAGTAAATACATGCAAATTCCTTTGGCCAGCTGGATGGAAACATGTTTCTCCTGTTTAGTGATGCCTAGTTGAAATAAGTCTAGGTGTTTCCGCTAACACATGCCATATCTCAGACTTTCCGTGTCCTGCATGCGGACGTGGTTTCATACACTCGGCATATCAAACACAAACACACTGGTGAAAGATAATGGTTCTGTTTTTACGAGTTAGGAATTTCAAGCGTTCGTCAAAAACAATAGCACACGTCATGTGAAATCAGCCCTTCCAGCTTCACACGGACTGACGGAAAGGGCAGTCCAGACACTAAATAACGGGTTGCGGAAACAAGCCCCGACTTCGCCGCGGAAAAGCTGGACTAACTCATTTTCGGCCACCGAACGACGCTGGATGAAACTATTTGGAGGAAACGCAGCGAGATGATGTTTGCGCGGACATTCTGTTTCTAGACCAGAGGGTTGAAGCTAAGCAAGATAGATCTTAGACAGAGCAACCGATCGAAAAATCGGTGAGAACGGACAAGTCTAATAATAATAATAATAAATAATAATGTGTCAGCTGTAGGCCGTAACGGCGCTTCGCTGCCGCGCGACCACCAACAGCCGCGAGGACGCTCACCCCTACGCGGACAAGTCTACGTAAAGTTGCCTAACGAAACGAACTGGCAGCCTGGAGAGCTGAGTGAAGTTGTGGGACAACAAAGAGGTGGCTCAATCGGACGGTAGAGTAGTTACTCGGTACAGGGACCACCTCCGTCATCGCTGTTTTAACTCGGTAAGACAGTTCACTTACGAACCCACCTAGTGAGCTAGCAGACTTGCATAACTCCGGTCAACCAGAGGCCAAACAGTGTCTCCATTCAGGTTGGCTACACTGACTGGCTGATCGACACCAGACTAGCTGGAGTAGTCCCAACTAAAAGGAAGGCTGAATCTGAAATGCTCGTAGCCGACACTTACGTGCCTTTCCTAGTAGCTGTCCACATTCGCTAGGAGTGTGTCCACTTAACGCTCAAGTAGCTATTGATTGACCTAAGCGATGCGCGGTACGAAACGCCGCTTGGAATGCAGTTTGCCTAGCCTGTTTTGATACGCGCTACTTCGGCTAGGTGTCTATATTAGGCGTCAGTTCCGCAATTACCAGACCAAAACAGGTTGCGCGATAGTCAACTGCTTGTGACTATGTTGCTGATAAAGTGTGGGCTCCTTGACACTGAATGTTCGCCAAGGAAATCAAGGACTAACACTAGGTCCCCTTCTTTGCTTTTCCTTAGACCTCATTCTCCAGATCGTTATGGGGACAAGGCAGTGAAGTATCAATTCAAATCACCGACGAACTACTGATAATCAAGTTGTCTGCGGAGTAGCGGAAAATAGCGAGTCGAGAGCACGCGTTCAGTCCTGACGACTGTGCTACTTAGTAAACCATACAGACTATGTGGGTCATTTGCGATAAAAGAGCCTGGTGGGAAAACGTAACAGGGAGATAATTACGAAACAAGAGTACCCACTCCGCGATAGTCTTAATTGTAAGAGAAAGCGATAGCAATGAATGGAGATATTCTGATAAGACCAAGGGGCGGCTCTAACAATGATGTGCAGGAATCTTTTTTAGTTAAAACCTGGTTTCACTGGCCACTACGATGACGTCTCACAACGCACCTAAACAACGCTGTGTTAGTCCATCATCGAGTTAAATATAATTTCAGCTGCTTTATGCCTAAACGGCACAAGCAAGACTTAGTGAAGACTGTCTAACAAGGCGAGAAAAGCATGCACTGCCGACAAATTGCAGCAAGAGGTGCGGTCGGTAACAAGCACCTTCGTAGACGATGGGTACCTACCTTTCTTCATCGCCCGATATAGCACTGAGAAAATGGAAGAAAGAGTATATATATATATATATATATATATATATATATATATATATATATATATGGTTGGCGGCATCCGCTTTCGGATTTGTCTGTCACTGTGGCAATCCACAGGGCGCCCGCGCCTACAGAGGGATCATGGATGGCTTGCGCTGCACCACCCACAGCTCCAATCACACACCCCATATCCAGTGTAAACCCGAAGGAATAAGACCGGGAGACAAGCGGATGGGAGCCACGTTTCATCAACGGAACCGGCCCACACTCCTTCACAGACAAACACAAGCACGCTGTATTTGGAGAATCAAGTACACACAAGGCGGTGGCTGGACCGTAATCCGTTCCACACTGAGTGCATGGAACCACTCTTCGAGCCTAGCACGACCACAAGGACCGTGTACCCAGTCTCCTCCAGCAACGACCAACTGTCTCCTGGAGCCAGATGGACGAGGTAGTGGGTAATAGACAGGTAGGCACCTTGTCAACATGCACATCAAGTGCAGCCACACCTTGGATGTCAAACAACAGTGAATCACTCGAAATGCCGATATCGAAGAAAGTAAACGCGTATGACGACGTAAATACTCGTTAAATGAGCATATGGAAGAAATTAGTTATAAATGAATCCGCAATAAATACAAACTGTCCGAAAGTTATTTAAAAAATACCACGCGATAAAATTACGGTTAGGTTGCCTTCTGTTCGGCCACGGCAGACTTAGCGCTTGAAAAGATAAGTAATGCGCAATAACCAGTAACAGTGAGAAACGCTTAGGTTAGTTATTACGAGATAAAAGGTATCTAAGCCCAATTTACTAACCAGTTGATCATCAAGCCACCTCAAGGAAATCGCAGATAACCCAGATGATTCAGCCATCGTGCCATTCTGAAACAGAAGTTCTTCCAATTGACCCATATTTCCAGGTGATGACTAAAGAGAAAAAAGAGCTTACAGAACTTACTTTAAATTTTAAAACCCAGTCGTTTTCATTGTCACAACCGGTTGACTTGCAATAAATCTCCAAACGATATTGTCGTTTCAGCAAGAAGTGACGAAGGAAATCAGTACAAGACTTCTTTACCATCACATAAGGCAACATGGTTTGCTCTGTATAAAGGTGAATGAATGCACGCAGGTGTATACACACCTGTGCGATAATGTTTGACCACAGAACTGTTGTTGAAAAAATCTTTTGCGACGAGGAAAGCATCAGATTCGTACAAAGCAAAAAAATCCTGTTCAATACGGAGATTACATATTATGTATGCATTACGCCGCGCTCGAAGCATCGCAAGGTGGTAGACGGTTTCTAAATGTTTGGACAAGTAATAAGTAACAGAGAAACTTACAGCTCCAAGGCTACAGAAAAACAGGTAAAACGGATCATCTGCAAGGTACATTTAACTGTCAGGTTAATTCAAGGGGACAAACCACAGTTCATCATCTCGTTCTTCAACGTAAGCCAGGTAAGTGACGTAGTGAAGTAACTAAAAAGATAGTAAAAACCTGAAACTGAGTAGACAAACGAGCAAGGCGTGAAAAAGATAAACAGAGACGAACGCAGAGCTAAATTTGGGAATCGAGTAAAATTTGATCGACCAGAAAATACCAGTCCGCATCAAAAGAATCGAACTATTAGGTCAATAGGATTAACTCCTGGGGTGGAACTCACCCACACTGGCTGAAAACCAGACTCAAAATAGTGAGTGAATTTGACCTCCTAATTAGCATGTCTCGGTCACCAATAAATAGAGTTCACCTATCCCGTGGATACAAACTTTCTGTCTACCGAGTTCTGATCTTTTGTATTCCTTCGGTTGGTTGAGCGCGTGACTGAGAATGCAGATAGCCGCAGTCTCATAGGGCACCTAGTAACAGTACAACAGTTGTCAATGGCAGAGGGAAAAAAAGCGTTATAACAAATATACGTAATGGACAATGTTTGGAGGATCAAAATAAGTACCAAAGGCACAAAAGTAAGGATTTTAACATGCGTTTTAAACACAAACAGAACGGAAATTCTAGAAGATTTGATTACGTGCTATCCCGACTGCTTTCAAGTAACTTGGAATAAAAAACAGAGTAAACAGTGAGCAAGTCAAAATGGAAAAGTCCCTGATGGCTCAGAAAATTAAAAGAAATAAAAGTTCTTATAAAAACGGGAAAATGAAACTGTCCATCCAACAACAATAAGCCCCTAACAATCACGTACAAGCGTCAGAACGCGGGAGTGGCAGAATCCAAGGTAAACGATAGGACTAGTGACAGACAGAAAGGAAGATAAGCAAGATTCCTGACAATCGGCGTTGGCACGATTACAAAGCTGGAGGTAAGATCCGATGTGCACGATGGAGTCAAAGAAATAGTCTATTATTCGGTATTTTAGAAAATAATAATAATAATAATAATAATAATAATAATAATAATAATAATGGATGCATTTTACAACGCCAGAATAGTTGCGACCATAACTGGCACAACACCCTGCACAGGTGGCATCACGCTACTGCGTGCGTACTACGTGTTGGTGCAATTATCATTGCAGATGTGGGTTTCTGACATTGTACACCATTCACAGTATTGTGTTCCACAGAAATGTACATGCATGGGAGAGCGCTGATCATCCGTCCAACCAAATTATGGTTTGACGATGGAAGGCTTCATAATCAAGTCGGTAATCCACATACACAGTATCTTGGTGATGTGTGTTGATGCCCTTCAAAAGCAATGCATGTAACCAAGGTGGATAACACTGTGGATGTGTGGTATCCACCTGCTATATATCGTACGGTCCATTCTAAAACAATACAGTAACTTCTCCTATGAAAACAAGGTCACTGGGATGAGCGATGATTATTTCCGGAAAGAAGGAAGGAGACAAAGGCCTATATGGAGGCTTTACTCGATTAATAATTCGGACGTATGAGCTGTAAAACAGAAGCGAATTAGAACGGTGAATATGCCAATGCATAGAATACGACAAAATTAAAAATATATAACAAATTCCCACACCCTGAAATCGTTGCTGAGTAGTTGAGAATGTTTGTAAAAATGAATGTGGCGTGGAGCGGTCAGTGTTAGGATGGGGAATTGGATAAGAGTAATAGGCGGAATGTGAACAAAGGATCCGTTCTAAAAAGGCGACGTATAATCAATGGAGAGCAAGAAACTACAATCAAGCTTCACGATTGCTCAGATTGTACGGTCGGATTCGTTGTTCCTGGTGTAGCAGAGTAGTCTCTGGTCAGGCAGTCGTTTGGTTAAGAGATGGATCGGGAGTCGCTGGTGGAGTAATATCAGGGATAACGATATCCGGTGCATTCAGTACATGGGACGTTAAGGGAACATTGCTGCAATCAGGAATACTGTCAGCAGCAAGGGTCAAGTAGCGAGTAGAAACAGTCCCCTATCTGTCATCGGGAAGTCGGACAAAGGCATAATTCGGGTTACAATCGAGTAGCTCGACTTCTTCAACTAACTGTTCGTGTTTCGATTGATGTGAAGCACGTTTCATGAGTACACGACCAGGTTCCGATAGCCACGATGGAAGAAAAGTGCCAGTAGCTGACTTGGGATTAAATCGAAATAAGTGCTCTTGTGGAGTTTCGTCGGTAGCCGTGCATATCAGCGATCTAATGGAGTGAAGAACATCTAAGAGGACCAACTCCCACTGTTCGATATGCAGGTTTTTTAGAAGATAGTGAGAGGGTAGTAGCGCGCAACAAAGTTCCATTGAGACGCTCAATCTGCCCATTGCTTTGCGGAGTATAAGCGGTAGTCCTATTGGTGAATATTCCTTTATCGTGTAGAAACTCCTACTTCTTCGAACACAAAGGAAGGGCCGCGGTCAGAGTGTACATACGATGGTATTTCGAATAAAATAAACAGCTGAGTGAGGCACCGGATCACTGCTGTAGAAGTCATATCGGAGCAGGCAAACACGAAGGGAAACCGAGTATTCGTCAATCAGAGTCGATGGAAGTGATTCCTTGAAATCAATGCTCAACCGTTCGAGCGGTTGTGTAGCTTTAACGAGTCTACCAACAGGGGTCTATAGAATCTAGGTTCGATTTCAGCGCAAGCTTTGCATTGTGAGGTCGTCGTCCTGACACCAAAAAAGGAAAATGGGAGGGTACGAGAACGGATAAAATGCAACATACGAGAAACACCGGGGTGGCACAATGACTTGTGTAGTTCGATAAGTTCCGTACTACTCAGAGACGCTGAACAATGAATTCTGGAAAGCGTGTCAAGTGTTTATTTTTGCTTCCCAGTCTATACATTATATCGAACCGATAAGTTGATAGTTCTAAACAACAAGGTAAGGTTGTCATTCTTAATTTTTTCCATGTCGTCACCGTACATGAAGGACACTGATCGCTGGTCAGTCACTATCGTAAATGGATTGCCAAGGAGGAAATGGTGCCATTTTGCACTGCTTCGAATATAGCGTAGGCCACTTTTTCGACGGTATGGTGATGTATTTCAATGTAAGATAGCGTTCGAGAGAAGAATGCTAGTAGCCTGCCATTTTGATTCAAGGTAGCGGCGGCTGCAATGTCAGATGCATCCGTTTCGACTATCAGTGGCACCCCGGGTGTGATAGTCACGACGGTATCGTGTTCCAATTCATTTTTGAGTTGTTCGAAACCGTTTAATACCGATTCAGGCAGCGGGAAAGTTTCACTGTGAGTCAATGGATAGACCTTAAAGGAAAATTTCGAGATCCATTTCGAATAATAGGCAAACATTCCCACTAGGCGCTGTTGTGATTTGGGATCATGAGGTGGCATCAACTCGGTTAGGGGTCGAAATCTCTCTAGGTCAAGTTGGATAACGCCCTTGGATATTTCATAGGCGAGTAGCGTGATGTTACAACCAGCAAAAATGCTTTTCGCATCATAAAAGGTAATACCGTAATTGCTGGCTATCGTCAGGAAGTGTTCAAGATTGGCGTCACGTTCCTCTTTGCTTCTATCACACAACGTAAGGTTAGTTACATATGCAAAGGTATTTTGAACTCCTTCCCGTTTCAGAACGCTGTCGATGGCTCGTTTAAAGCACGCGACGCCGGTGGTAACACTGAAGAGAATGCGACAAAATTCAGAGTTCTCCACCAGCTTCAAACGCAATGTATTTTCTTTCGTTCTCGTTGATGGTATTTTATGATAAGCATCTTCAAATTTAAAGTGTTATATACGTCAAAACAGTCGATTTTATCGATGAGGTCATCAATCCTTGGAAGCGGGTAGGCAGCAAGAAAGATAAATCCATTTATAGTATGGCTATAGTCAACAACCATACGCTTCTTATTTCCGTTTGTAGTTACTAACACTTGCGCTCGCCACGGCGACCTCGAAGGCTGTATAATGCCATCTGACAGAAGTCTGTTAATTTCAAATTGAATGAAAGTTACATCAGTGTCACTATGGCATTTGGATTTCTTAACAATCGGTCGACAAGTTAGAGCAAGGTGCTCCAACAGAGGAGACGGTTAAACACGATCCGCCAGTAAGCCACAAATAGTAAAAGGAGGTCTGGATCCATGAAATGATATCTCAATTTTACAATGATATTTAAGGTAGTTGTGGCAAATTAATACACTAAAGCACAGTTGGATAAAATCGATAGTTTCACATTAGAATAAGTAGTGTCTTTGTGTGGAGTAGTGTAAATAATCCTTGGGTGAAACAAGAATGAGGCCATAACGATGTGTTCGCGAGAGGTTTCGATGGGAAACTTGTTAAGCTTTACAACCCTAGCGGAAATGTGACGTTCAGAGCTCGCAATATCGACAACAGCGTGAAGCAGTGTCATACAGAAATATGTTAGTAACGGCATTGCAAAGGCTGCTGGACGCAACAGCGGATATCACAGAAGATAAAACTGACATAGAAATGTTCGAGCCGTGATTTGTGCATAACTTAAATTTGTAAACCTTCAGGAAATGGCGTTTTTGCATACTTTTTACATGTCGCATCTCTGACAGGACACTATAATCTAGGATGGCTAATGTGGCCACAAAATGAACACGTTGATTGAGAGGACGCGAAGAGAGGTTCTGCTAGAAAAGGTACTTGTGGCTCAGATAATGGAATATCAGTGTCGACCGTGAAATTACAAGTTGTTACATGAAAGGATGATGCTTGTTTTTAGGCTAAATCTAGCGATCTAGTGACTTCGAAAGCGGACAGAAGATCGAGAGACTTTTGCTCCAATAGCCTATGCCTGATGAGGTGAAATTGTAGGCCGCTGCTAAAAGCACCTCTGACTCTTGTGTTCGTAAAACAGAAGCGAATTAAAACGGTAAATATGCAGATGCACAGTATACGACAAAATAAAAAATACATAATCGTCATAATTATGCTACGTCGAGGTCACTTTCGAGCTTAAAGCGAAAGAATGCTGCGGCCTCAAACGACCATACTACGCCGGAGCTTACACCACAGAGTCGAATAAATCATCACAACAATGATTGTACACCATAGCAAGAGGTGGGAAACACTTCCGTAACCTGCAAAAAAAAATGAAACAACAAAGACACGACACTTGAGGCCCTGGTCACGGATGACCTTCGTTCCGCAGTAGTTTGCCGTAAAAAAGTGAGATTAGGCGTCAGAAATGACGCCTTTGGAGGGAGGCTAGAAAGGAAAGGAGGGACAAAAACTCAATACAAGAACGGCACTGACGTCGGCTCCTAGCCATACCAACGTGCGTATCCAGCCAAACGTGTGCATTGCATTTCAGGCCACAACCAGGTATCCGAGGCTCCTCATGAGCACGTCATCGCTTGGCCTCTTTTCTTCTACCCACAGCGCACGTCGAGATAGTCGTTGTGCCGGCATGCGCAGCATGTGACCCAGCCATCG